ATATTAACCCCTCATTATTAACCCTTATAATTAACTATATTAACCCTTTATTATTAACCCTTATAATTAAACATATTAACCCTTTATTATTGAACCGTAGTATTAACCCTTCATTATTAACCCTTATAAATAAACATATTAACCCTTTATTTTTGAACCTTTGTATTATTAACCATATTAACCCCTAAGCCTTGAATGATTTATTTTAGAACATTTAATATTTTTACTGACGGTTTGCATTGCTTCACAGGCCAAACACAAGCGTTACTTTGGCCACTCATTATTAACCCTTATAACTGTCTATATTAACCCTTCATTATTAACCATATTAACCCTATAGTATTGAACCTTAGTATTATTAACCATATTAACCCTTCATTATTAACCCTTATAAATAAACATATTAACCCTTTATTTTTTAACCTTTGTATTATTAACCATATTAACCCCTAAGCCTTGAATGATATATTTTAGAACATTTAATATTTTTACTGACGGTTTGCATTTCTTCACAGGCCAAACACAAGCGTTACTTTGGCCACTCATTATTAACCTTTATAACTGTCCATATTAACCCTTCATTATTAACCATATTAACCCTATATTATTGAACCTTAGTATTATTAACCATATTAACCCCTAAGCCTTGAATAATTTAGAGCATTTAAAGGGGTCATATGATGCGATTTCAGTTTTTCCTTTCTCTTTGGAGTGTTCTGACGGTTTGCGTTTCTTCACAGGCCAAACACAAGCGTTACTTCGGCCACTCTGCCCACGTGACCAACATCCGTTTCTCTTATGACGACAAATATGTGATAAGTGTAGGAGGCAACGACTGTAGGTGAGCTGACATCCATCCATTTGTCCATCAGTCCGTCGGTCTGTCTGAACTGTTATTAATGCGTCTCCTCTGTCTCTCAGTGTGTTTGTGTGGACATGCATCTGATGGGCCTCCACACAGCTGGGAATCTCTCCTCCAAACACCAAGCCGGAGATACCTCCAGCGTCCGGATGCTGCACTTCTGTTATGCTGCGTTTTACCCCTCTAGACCTGATGGATCCTGGACGAGCTCGAGTTCGAAGAGGGTTTTTTACCATTCTGTGAAGTGCAATGTTTACGCTCACATGTAGTTTTACAAAGAAAAAAAAGATACGCTCATAAGTCATGCCAATATTTCAGAAATGTATTTTTTGTTCGGATTCTGAAGTGCCTTGGAGACACAGTTTGCTGATCTTTTCCCTGAAATGTTCATATGCATATATGGTGCTAAATGTCCACTTAAAGCTTTTTAAAATTCTTTTAAAAAAATCATGCATTATGCAATTTCTTTTCTTCTTTATCTATCTTCTTTTTACATTTTGTACATAAATGTCAAATATATCCATTCACTAAATGCTCTTCCTGTTAAAAATATCCAAATACATGGGACTCAGGAGAAATTAAGTACTGTAATGTGTAGATGTTATATTTGACCTGTGCTATTTTTGTTAAAATATTAATTTTTTATGTACGTATTTACGTATGACGTATGCAAATTAGTCGGTCGGTCTGTGGGCGTATATGAAAATGGAAAATGCAAAAAACTGGCTGTCCAAATATTAAAGTTATGAAATGTACGTAGTAGCGTTGTCTGTTGCGACGTGTGTAGATTGTAACAGCAGCTGTTTATTGTGTGCAGATATCATGTTATATCTGTCATTTGTATGTTCATGTTTTTGTAATTTGTCTGATCAGTCAACCTAATTGAAAGCTATATAATGCATGAATCGAAGTCTGTGTGGTTGTTGATCATGAATGAATACTGTTGTTTTATAATTAAAGAGAACTATGTGCTCTCACAAGTGAACCTGAGTGTGTTTCTGTCTCTCACCAGCTGATGGCAGCATATATGAGCAGTTTCTATGACCAAATCTGAGATAGTCTTATCGAAATAAACATGGTTATTGCGAATTCTCATTTTTTCATTCAGTGTTGCAAAAAACCACAATATTGGCAGCCCTAGTCAATAATGAGAGACAAAAGATGAACTGGAAATGTATTACTGGATACACTAGTCAATACCAAATACCAGAAGGTGAGTTCGTTTCGCTAATGGATATCATCATATTTCCCCAGCTGATTAATTACAAAACTTTTTTTTTATTACAAGTTTGCATTTTTTAGATTGTGTTGTAAATTCTATTTTTAATTTTAATCCTATATAAACCCTATTAAGCCGTGATAGCCGTTTTAGAAGGAATACACCTAATAAAATACATTACTAAATAAAGTCCCCCAAATAAAATACATTTACTAAAGAAAAAAATAATGTTCTAAATAAATCTCATCAATAAAATAAGTTTACTAAATAAACAAATACCATAAGGTGAATATGGTAAAAGGTTTGACTAATAGATATCACCATATTGATTAATCACAGTAAATTGTGTGTGTGTGTGTGTGTGTGTGTGTGTGTGTGTGTGTACACTCACGTTCAAAAGTTTGGGATCAGTAAGATTTGTCATGTTTGTTAAAGAAATCTCTTCTGCTCATCACGGCTACATTTATTTGATCAGAAACACCCCAAAAAAAAAAGTAATATTGTGAAATATTATTGTAATTTAAAGTAATGGTTTTCTATTTTAATATACTTTAAAATGTAATTTATTTCTGTGATGCGCAGCTGTATTTTCAGCTTCATTACTCCAGTCTTCAGTGTCACATGATCTTCAGAAATCATTCTAATATGCTGATTTAATATCAATACTGGAAACAGTTTTGCTGATTAATATTTTTTTTTTTGAACCTGTGATTCTTTTTTCAGGATTCTTTGATGAATAAAATGTTAAAAATAACAATTTGTTCAAAATAGAAATCTTTTGTAACAATATACACTGCAGTGCAAAAGTTTGGGGTCAGTCATTTTTGTTTCTTTTTTTTTTTTTTTCTTTTTTGAAAGAAATTAATGCTTTTATTCAGCAAGGATGTGTTAAATTGATAAAAAGTGATAAAGTACATTTTCATATTGTTAGAAAAGAAAACAATATATATATATATATATATATATATACATACATATATATATATATATATATATACA